GCTATTTATAAAAAGTACAATGTGTGTATATTGTATTTTGCCTTGGCAACTATAAAGCATTCCTGTGAAGCCCTACAGGGGACATAGCAATGTTTTATTCTCTGAAAATTATAATGTTGTTGACAGAAAACAATGGTTTGGTGGTACATTTGTCTATAGCTTTTTTCACATTTTTACACACTTGAATATAAAGCCATGCTAAACAGTGTCTCACACACATTGATACGACACACAAATACACTCCAACACACAAAAGAACCTCCTTAGAAGTTTATTGCAAAGTTGACACCTGTCCAGATCATTTGTATTTTGTACCATTCTAAAAATAATACTATCCCAGAGTCCACCAGTGTACAGCACCTTCACATATCCCACAAACCACCTGAGCGAAGGGAAGAGCACCATACTGAGTACCGTATACAAGGAACCACAATCACCTACAACGTGTCTTTTTAAAGTTACTAAGTCGTTCACCCCCCCAAAAATGCTATGAACTAAAAAATAATTTAAAATTAAAACTCACCTACTAGTGTTAATGGTATCTACCATACAAATATGCAGTATATTGACCCTATCTAAAGCTACATTGTAAACTTATAAATAATACATCAGTATCTATATTTTAGAGGAGAGTTTTAGAGGAGAGTTTTGTTTGCGGTGACTCGGGACAACATAAAGATAACGAGCAACCCTATGATATACACTAATCACTTAGAGTGGAAAGCAAAACATGCTGGGCATCAATACGGACCAAAAAAAATGCCTCCGCTCCTGAGGCGTCGCCAAAAATGACATTTTTCGCATGCATGATGTAACCAACAGCATCGATGCATGTCTTCCCAGATATCAGATGCAGACTTCTGAAGTCGTCTTTGTTACTAAACTGCTCAACAACTGGAAGGTGAGATACAATTATTACAACACTCTTCTGTCGTTCTCCAAAAAATAGTCCAGCATTCCCTTTCTTTAGAAGCTTACTGCAACTGCATTAGTACTTGCAAGGCACATGATCATCCTTAGCATGGACACTGGAGCCCATGAATATGGTTCAAGCAATGTTTTGACTTGAGTGCTTCGTTTCTATATTGATCAAGACTACTAAACTTTCTTACATCGTATATTTGTTAATGAATTGTACATCACATCATAGTTAATGAAATGTAACACCAATAATGTACCTTTTTTTCAGTATACTTGAGTCTGATCTTTGGCCATTGGAGGAATGTGGAGGTATGTACTTTTACTTAACAGTTTGTAATACTAACGGTGTGAAGCGTGCAACCGTAAAAGGCTCCTCCAAGTACATGTAGTAATATTTTGCTCTTTGCCAGGAAATGTGTGGCTTGTTGACTAATGACAGAAAGTATCTTACTTCATCATCAACTCAGTTGTTTATCCGCCCCGCCACCGAGAAAAAATATCCTTGCCATTACTTAGGAATGCTATGACTGACTTATCATATATGTTTTCATAATCTCTATGTTATATGTAGGGAAGGAAGGGCCGTGAATTTGAGTAACCTCAGAGGCAATCTTGACGTTAAGTTTGGGTTGCAGTCGTTCATGATTTACTTTTGAAGCGCGGTATCGCTTTCAACAAACGCTGTGTCGGTACATTTTCGCCTGAAGTTTTAGTCAAGAGCTGCCTGAGGTTATCCCATTCACGGATTGAGGGGAGGGGTGTACAGGGGCTATTTTTGGACGACTTCGATGCCCCAGGATTTGCGGGTGCTCGTGTCGTCTGCATCCTGTGGGCTGATGATGATGTTGCGCCCGTCCATGTCCAGGGCAAAGTCTGTGTCTGCACTGGTGATGACTCCGTTAGCATGGATCTGTGGGAAGGAGGCAGTCATTGTTTATACATTGAACCCAATAGTTATGTATTGCCAGAAGGGTATGTTTTCAGTTTGGCCATGGTTGAGTGTGGGTCTGAATGTATGTCAACAGCATAACTCGAGAAGCTGTGGAGGGATCTCCATGATATGGTTCACCTAGCATTTTCCAATGGTACTGCAGCAAGCTTTTTATGCATTTTTAGTTTGTAAACACATGTACATACATTGTAGACCGGTGTGAAAACCGGTAGTGACCAGACAGAAGAAAGAGAACATTTCTATCGCTTTCCAACAATATTAAGTACAATATCTATTGTACATCTGTTTTCACCTCACAGAAAACTTCTGCAATTGTGTTTAGTATAGATGTACATGTGGCAAACAACTGGCCCTGAACAGAATCCACTCCAACTGTGATAGACTGGACTCCAGGCAATTGGATAAAAGTTAGAGACATTGACTAGGACGTACCACCCATTTCTGGTTCCTGTCGCCCGTGCAGGGCCCCAGTTCCACGGGGGAGGGCGCGAAGGAGTCCGCGACCTGCAGCGCACAGTTCTGGTACTTCTTGTTACGGAAACAGCCTTTATCATAGCACCAGAGTTGTGTGTCACTGTGGTGGTGAGAAATCAAAATTGTCAAACAAAATAAGAATACTGAATGACTCTTCTAGATGTACAAATACCATAATCTCCAAGCAGATTCTGGGGGGCAAGGGGATTCTATATTGGCGGCCTGTAACCATTGGCTGCACCACGTATTGGATACTGCCTGGCCAATTTGATACTGTCTTGCAACCACCCAAACATATGCTTATTACTTAGAGATTACAAATACATGTATATCTGTTCCATGGACAGGTACTGACCGACCTTGTGTAGAAAGGAAAAGCATTTTGTTCTAACTATTTTCAGAAGAATATATATATTCCTTGCAATAATCTTTTGATAGAGACAGAGGATCCTATAAACTTTCTTTAGTGGATGGCTCATTCGTTGACTGCTTTCATGGTGCTGTTCAGGCAACAATTTTTGTTGGAATTCCTTCTACAGAATTAGCAGTTAATTTCTGTTATATAAGTTCTGTAACAGAAGAGTACTTACTTTGTTGGTATGTTCTTCTGTTTGGCCACCGCCTGCTTGCCTAACTGTGGACTGTCCTCTGCCTCAATCACTAACCCATTACTGCCGTGATGGGCCAACCGGAACCACCGACCTGTAAGAGAAACACATTATCTTAGGACTTGTCCTTTGTTTCACCATCCTTGGAGTTGTAGTTTCTGTAATGTGTTATATTAGTCTGTTATATTACTATGTATAGTGGTGTGATCTCGCTTTATGTTGAAATAATCTGACAGCTTGTTCTCTTACCAAGTGGTGAACCTTGTTTGAAACATTTTTTGGAGGATGACGTGGAACAGAATTGTTACCTGAGAAGCCACTCTGCTGTTTGACTTCTTTTTCATTGGTTTCATTGAAATCTGAAGCTCCTGTGCCTCTGATGTGCTATCATTTCTGGCAGTTATTCGTCCAATGTAATGTGGTGTCATTTTCATATCTTTGTACTGACCAAATTTGTGCTAATCGAATTCGCTGCATCATTGTAACAGCTCATGATGGAGTACCTAGTATGTCTATCTAAATTGGTCCATACTTAGCCATAGTCCACATAAGAGGCAGGCACATTGTTTGGGTAATTGGCATTTGAGGGAAGCACAGTAGAACGAAAGAGGATCTCTGACAAAATACTAGTATCCTTTTTGATACAGTTCCAAACAAGTTACTTGTGTATTGTTGGCCATAATATGCCACCAAGGTATGGAAACTTGGTTAGTAGCCATGATAAATCAAATTTTCCTTGACCCAGTCCAAAAAACAAACGTTTGAGTTAGATGTCACCTTCAGCCCTGATGTCTAATGCGGTTGTTAGCTGTGCGTATTGAAACCATGGCCCGATGGAATGTGGAAATGGGTACATGTGAACACCACCCACACCTTTGGGATATTCCATTCTTAACCTTGAGGGTACGTTCCTTAACGTTAACTGTCATGTCTCTTTTCTAGAATTTAGCTCCAAAGATAGTTGTGGTGTCTTCTACATCATACCAAACAATACTGGCTGTTGTTTTCTTCCGACCCAGGTGTTTTGAATGGAATATCCCGTTAGGATACAAAGGATTTGGGGGCCTTCGAAGCGCCACCTAGTTTTACCAAGGAGCGCCCTGCCTACAGAGGCGCTGATATCAGCGCCCCTATCACCAGGAGCCGGCACTGCAGCACCATAACCTGGAGGGAATTCCATTTTGCGTCAGTTAACATCATGCCTTCTTCTTATTTTAATATCATGCCTTCTTCTTATTTTGTTGCTAATTTACATACAGAGTGATGCGTTTGACCTTCGTTTTACGAAGAATCAAAAGTCTAAAACCAACGTTTAAACCAGCATAAAAAGTACCGATGTGCATTTTTTTCAGGCTGTTCTAACTCTAGTTCGAGGTAACAATAGGATTGGTCATGCAAATTAAATTGGAAAACCCCTGTACCTTTCAGAACCTTAGCTATCTCCTCCTCCTTTACGGACATGTGTACAGATCCGTACTTCGGGTCATCCTTAGCCACTGCCTTCTGCGGAGTGGTTTTCTGTTGCGTCACTGTTTTCTGCGTAGTTTTCGTCTCCGTCACCACACTCTGTGTACTTTGGATGGTGCTGAGGTCCTTGTCGAAGTACCAAGAGATCGGGTACAGCGACACGAACCCCTGCGGCTTTCCAGTCGGCTGCATCGCAATCGCCGCTGGGTTGAGGGAAAGACCTGCGGGGGAAAACGTATGTGTAGTTTTTACTGTGGCCGCTTGAAGGCGCTATAATACCGTGGTATCCTCCACTTGGCAATCACCAAGAGGAAAACATATACATGTACATGTACTGTTATCGGTTATATGGCACAGTTAGAACCACTTCCGTTCACGAGTTTTGAAGAAAACTTTAAAATGTGGCCTTCTTTTTGTACTTATGCCGTACCTGTGACGTACACGTTACTCCTGCCATTCCCCAGGTCCACCTTGAGGTGTGACGTGTGGCGGTGTTCCCCGTTCTGGATGAAACAAGCAGAGGGAACGCCCGGGAAATCCGACTCAGCCTGCCCGTTCACGCTCGGCGTGGTTTTTCTGCGTAAGAATACAAATTAAGAAGACTATAAAACACCAGTCAACAACGCAATGTATTTCACAAACTAATGATCAATATGTTGCTGGTCTTGTAGTACGTTTTTAGAGCCTTTTGAAATTCAGTAGTCGGAAGTTCATGTCAAAGTTGATGTTGAGCGATGGGAATGGAAGAAGACATGGTCCATAACATTGAAATAAAAAGAGGAACAAAATCTTGATGGATCGACTAACGGTTTTACAAGATAGCGGTAAAGCCTTAGGCAACTATTAAAATGACCTAATCGGCATCACACTGTTGACGACCGTCGAGTATCACGACTTGATTTTTTTCGCGGTACTTTTCGCGGTCACTTCCGCGGTGAACGCATAATTACCGTTAACAAACGACTTTTTGCTGAACCTGCCGCCACTGCGAGCGTTAAGTTCCGCAAACATGCCCTTTATTTTCAGACCGCGAACTTTTGTTACCGCAAACATAAAGTGATTTACAGCATATGTTGATCACCAGACGGTCGCCGAATTTAAAAGTCGCCAGAGAGAGTCGGCTTATTTTTCGCCTGAAAATTTACCGTTACAGTGGATGGGATTTGGTTACCTGCTAACATCTGCCAATCTCTTACGAGGGGACAACAAGGCCGTATTGATGACGAAAATATCCTTTTGTGCTCGCAGACGGGCGAGCTATTTTCATGCCGTATGACGCCAAATTAAGACATGTTTGGATTAACTTGACTCTTCCTTATCTTAATCACGTCCACAGCCTTAAAGATAGACAGCTTTACTGGCTTAACGTCTTGATGCTATAACGTTATATATAAACGGCATTTCTTACATCTGGAGATAAAGTTGATCACTTTCAGGGGATAAAAATTCTGAACTAAACTCGTCCTTTAATTTGCATACCGTGTAGGCGTTTCGCAGTGCTATATTGATGTATGTGTGACATGCACTGGTGTGCCTAACGCCTATCGGGAGATGGGTATTATGCTGAAGTGGCATGATAACAAAATATCAATAAACATTCAAGATTACAGTATCGCACCAGTGCAGTGCATTGTAAATTTGGAAGGGGTTTTAGATAACAATGACCTAGACCAGTAAAACTGCCGCAAATCAAAATATGCGTCTGTAGTAGACTCTGTACATTCTTCAACATTGTTCCATGACACAAAGTATTGCTGTAGAGAATTAAAAATATTTGCTGGTCAGTTTTCATGGCGTAAACTGGGATTTTCTCTCAATAATAAATGAAGTTTTTACGTCGCCCCGTTGTTCCATTCAGCGTATAAAAGAGTCTTTTCGTTCATTGACATACCTGATGAAACTATTCACGGAGTGTTTTATCTGTTATTCCGTTACGTAACTAGGTACACCAGGACCCACCCTTCCTGCATCTGTGACACCTGGTTGCGGAAGTTGCGTAACTCCGTCCGTAACTCCTCTATCTCCTCCTGGAACTTTCTTCTCTCCGCCTCCTCCAGTCCTCCGCTGCCACTGCGCATGCTCTCCTCCGTCTGCATGGTCTCCATCTGTGAGACGAACTCTGACGGCGCCATGGTCTGACCTTGTAGGGCCGTGATCTGACGGGAAGGTCAAATACAGGAAATAGCGGTATGTGTTAACCGTCCAACATGGCGGACAATGATGACGTTATAGTCACGTGAGTGAAAAGGCTCTATCGATATTGTCGTCATGTGACCCAAAACTTTTCTTGTCTCTAGTATAGTAATGAGATAAATACGAACTTCTCTCAATGGAAAACGGGTTGGTTAGTTATACATGTAACATGCTGTAAAAGTTATTTTTACAACTACACGTTGTTTTTATCTCACTAAATCTAAGAGTGAGTGTGTTCTATTTTATTCTCATACGCAACCGAAGATATAAAGACTTATCATCATTTTGGCATCCGTAATATTATATACTAGTACGTCAAACGGTGTTGGGGATACATGATTTACTTTATAAAGTGTACATGTGCACATTGCAGAAATGCTTTTTGAAACGTTATGATAAATATATCCACGTAGGCTGCTATAAGTGGTGTTATCATCATGGCACAAATATCATATGAATACATAGCATGCCCCTAATGTCTTGTCATACGGGGTCAGCGTAATTTTCTCACAAAGCGACAATGTTGGTGAATGCCAGGAGACACGAGAATATAAGGCTTAAGTTGAAGAATATAAAAGACGTTTGAAGGAAAAAGACATGTTACAAAAATCATGTTCGAAAATGCAAACAAATGTTTGTCTGTGTTTGTGGCGTCCAGGAAAGATTAAAGGGTTGGTTTTTGGCATTACACAAGGTATGCTTGATGTGTAATACGATACTAGTGTAGCTTTCTTAAAACTGTGGTTCAGTGTTTGTTGGACGCTCCCACGACTTTCAACTGAATCCACGCCAACATTCTGCCATGATCACACTAAATACATCCACACCCACTGGCACTACTCAAAATGTCGCAGGGAATTACATTCCAGACTTCCCTTCGGCCCTTTTCATCGCCTATCAGTCATCTACAGTCGGTCATACAGGAACATTTACCGCTAACAGGCTGCCTGTATTACCCGTGGATTTATCCAATGAAACCCGATATAAAACTGCCGATGGGACTAAATCTTATGTAGGTCATTTTAGGAGAAAAAAGCAGTGCTGTTTAAAACGCGGTCACATTCGTCTGGCAATATTTTGTCGTAGGATTTCTAGAAAAAGTTAACTATCCACAAGGGTCTACGGAAACCTTTTCCGTGACAAAACAGTTGAGCTGAATTTTGTACGACACAACCACGCGCGGTGGTCCCAAGAATGCACTTAATTTGCTGTCGTCAACCTGTCGTGCGACAATTGTGACCGGGCCCTTCACAGTGGATATCAACTTCACGAATCATGGCTATACATAATTCATAGGGATGTACGTAGTATAGATTGTTCTAAAATTAGTGCTTATATATACAGTCTCTTTGTACTGCCCGTGACCTAAGGGAATATGGCTATTACGGGATGTTATCTTGACAAGAATCTAGGAGCCACGCGTGCAACTTCTTTCACCAGGCGAAGTAAAACTCTCCTTGGAGAAAACATGTGCAACTCGTTAGAAAACGTCGACTGCCCAGGAATATGTGTGGAAACAAGCAGTGTTTCGCAAATAGATTTTTGGACACTGGTGATTGTACAACGTGGATTTGATCCCCAAGCAGATAATGGTGAGGGGGGAGATAGTTATAATAATACACCCTTTAGAAAACTTAACGATCTTTCCTGCCAACATCTGCTTTGTGAATGTGATAACGTGGACTAGCACAATACAACTTTATTGAGTACACAGTACTGACCAAATAAGAATTTAGTAGGTAGTTAGGCGGTGTGCAGCGAGTCGTGATTCCTCGCGGTAATTCTGCATTAAGCTCTTTAATGCAGTACTTAACCTTTTCGACATTCCTTTCCTGCATATCAATACTGTAAAATGTACGCGACTGTGGTGTATTGAGCTGGGTACAACATGTGCAGGTAATCTAGACCTGCCGTAGGGTTGACACACTTTGGGACAACTTTGGGAATTCAAGCCATCAAATCTATCAAATTTTAGAAAATCTGGATTCAACTGCAGGAAATATTCATAGATTTATCAGCGTGAAACGCTGGGGGGTAACAAAGGTGAGGAGCCTGGGAGACTGACCGATTGGTCATGGTCACGAGCAGGGGGCCTGGGGGCTAGACAAGGTCACGGTCACACGCTCTCTGTTTTATAGAAGACTAGCCTGGGTGTAGATTGTTGAGCGATCACTGGGCGCAGGGCTAAAGCTAACATGGCTGAAAATTCTGTCAACCTTCAGAAGCAGTAGAACAACAAGAAGTTGACTTTATAGGAGTAGAGAGGAAATGAGGGAGCGAACCTAAGCTGTGGCGTGGACAGGTATTCCTTTGAGGAAACTTGAGGCAACAAGCCCAAACTCCTTGTGGTATTTACGATGACAGTTACATAGCTGTGGTGTCGAGTAGGAGACATAAATTGTTAAGTGGCGAAGTACGACTTAATACAAGGCGGCTGGCCTTCAGTTTGTACCGTCAACAGCGCCAATCTTCATGAAACTAGACGACTGTGCCCGTTTAATTCACAGTTGGGCAGGACAATAGTTTATTGTGGGGCTACCATGTTCACATACGGAATGTTGCGTTCTTGTTTAAAAGTTTCCATTTTTGTCTTTTTCGAAGATAGCCCTCATCGCTCCAGTACAAGTTTTCGTTCGTCCAAACGACTGTTGAGTGGCGAATGCAAGTCTGTCGCTATAGTCTGTACAACAATAGCCTGGATGCCAGACCCATAGCACACTAGGCCCACTAGATATTACTTTGTCCCCAGTGTGCTATTGGTATGGCATCCAACAACAGGTACGACTGCAACTGTTGAGGAGAAAATATTGTAAAAAGCATACCGAGGGAAAGACGAGAGAGATGAAAAAAAGGGAGACACGTTAAAGGGTCAATGTGCTGGAAGTACTTTCTTGGTGTTTATGGTATTGTGCTGTGAGGGAAGTGAGGGAAAAGTCAGCTAGGTTCAGTGAGAGTTTTCGTGCGACAAATCACACGGTGTAGAAAGTTTCTGTGGTGCCACCAGTGGTCCAAGATGGCGGGTACCCTGAACACCTTCCCCCGTCCTGCGTTCATTTTACCCTCACCTTTGCCTTGTAGTGTTTTTCCAGTTCTTCCCGGTTCTTGTGAATTAAATCCTCGTAGTGTCGTCGCAACCTTTCCAGCTGCTCGGGAAGCGGCCTGCCCCCGGCGCCACCGGCGGTCGAATCCGCCACCGATTCGAACATTAGTCTCCCACGCTCCTAGCGGTTCCAGAGCGCAAGGCAGCGATGAAAAGTAAAGTATCTAATCAAGACCTTTGTACTGTAAAGATATATCTTTGCTCACCTCCCACCAGTGCATTACACCAAGAAATCATTTAAGTACCGTGGACTAGAAGGACAACGGGCGAAGGGACAAGCGACTGTGACTCGAAAACTGAAACGTGCCTTATTCACCGATATTAATAAAAGAACACCACGTAGAGTGTAAGCTGTGCAATGCTGCTTCCGACAGAGTGAACGTACAATTGGTGACAGTTACCAGGCCAACCCATCCTGAAGTCATGTCAGTAAATCCCGTGGCAAAAGCTATACATAACCGTTAGACTTTTACCAAATGGTATTAGCTTGTTATTAGTTGGTGATATACAGGGATCTGCATATTATATCTTCATTGTGGGAGTTGCTTACGTGGCATGGATGAAGTTATTATTATTATTAAGAACGTAGAAATTTATACATATATTAGGGGTTAGACCTTTACGTTAGGGGTTAGACCTTTATGCACATATACTCATGATTGTGATTTTTATAAAGCCATTGTTAAAACTGTTGTTGTGAATACCACATCATGCTGTATAGAGGCATATCGTATTACTGCACAGTAATAATATTATCTTTCGTAAGTACTTCATGTTGGTAATAACTATAATGCACACGAATGCAACTCTTTCAGTAGTACGAAATCGCGACTTTTCTAATGTTTAGGGTATATTCGTAACGCTCCCATGCGCTCACGCCACCTGCCCCCCTCCCCCTTCCCCCGTTCTGTTTGCTGGTTTCCTACCTTCCTTAGACTGCCAACTTCATCTTCCAGTTTCTTCCTCAAGCTCAACTCTTCCTCAAACCTGGGTAGAAAAACAGCGAAACTGATTTGTTACAATGTAATGAAAAAAAAGCATTTACGCGTTAAGTTACAAGAATCATTGAATAGAGACGGGGGACGCCACAAACTTTCTGCAACTTTGATCCACCGGTACCGGTCAGCGATTCACATGTCTTCCCTCTGCATGAAGTGACGCTCTATAGGTGGATTTGTCATTCTTTGACAGAGACTCGTGGTGTTCAGTCCCATCTCCCACCAACACGGGAGTGTCGTCAAGTTTTGTGCCTTACAATAAATCACCAATCCCCACAAACATCGTACATGCCTATCAAATGTCACCTCGTGAATTGCATTATACTTACCATTGTACGATCAAATTCGGCCAAATAGGTCTAATATTAGGCCCAATATACTTCACATGCCAACCTTGTTATCAACAAATTCCCGAGCGATCCGCATGCCACCTAGCGTACGAGTAAAAACCTTTAAACGTGACCGCTATCACACTCCGGGGTTCCCCAAGGGTGCACTATCGACCCCCTCTACCAGCAGAGCAGCAGGGCGATAGTACATCATGCATGCTGCATTGCCTTTATTCGAATTCCTGTCAAGATTTATATTTCACCACGGATTGGATATTGAACTTCCAGAAAGCTGCACACTGATGAAATGATACATCAAGGAAAAACCATTAAACTTGGAGATCAGACTCTCAAGTTTTCGTCAGTTTATGGGTCACGTTATTCTCCCCAGACAGTACGTGCACCGACATACCAAATATAACGTGTTACCGAACATCAGGTGTGCCGGATTGGGGTCGTGCGCTTTGGGGCTTTAGCAAGCTACAATCGATCCGTCTAGAACAGTTAGGTAGAAACGTTTATATTCTGTGGGTGTCTGTGTGAATTTTGCAAATGATATTAAACTTGCACATGAAAAACAAAATGAACATGGATATGCTTGCGGAAACGATGAAGCTACTATCAGTTTGTGTGATGACTGAGGATGGCTATTACAGAAAGGTGAGGAAATGACGTCAGCTTACAAAATTGCAAAAGTTGTGCCAAGATCGAAGGTCGCCTGAGGATAGAACGCAATGCGGCAGAAATAACGAACAACGTCACTTCATATTCATCATAGAGCAATATTATTTCAGGCATCGGTGCCGCGCAACAGCTCGAGTGGGTAATCTTTCTCCACAAATGTCCATCATCACTGAACCCAATTTCCAAAGGTCTTTTGTGGGAGTGGGAGGCAGTGGTGTGTAATGCCTAATTCTTTTGATCAATTTCAATACACCCCCTTCACAACAAAAACAACAACGAAACACCCACGTACGTATACGTGATTTGAAGACTACAGAATTTGTACTTGAGACATGAAGGTAGGATGGGTGAGTGGGTTGAAATGTAACGCAACAATGCGTGTAGATTTAATACTCTCACCATTGTACTGGCAGAGGAAATTGCAACTATGGCCGACTCTTCAAAATCATTAGCACAATGCGTAGACTACAATATTATGGTACCAGAAACGTTTTATGTGCGAGCGGAGAATCATGAATGATAGTCTCGTGAATATGTGTTGGAATGGGAGGAGGGAGGCTTTAGAAATGCCAGCCCTGCCAGTGTCATGGGACTGCCATCAAAGTCTACAGTGAAGAGACTTATTCTTGTACATGTATAACAGGCACGAGACCTTTTGTAGTACAATACATGGGTCCTAGGGGGTCCTGTACCATGGTCCTGCTTTTTTTCTGAGAAATGATGGACACTTGCAGTGAGCCATTACTAGTATTAAGCATATAGCGTCTTTAGTAATGACTGGCACTCTCGTACAGTGTTGGTGGGTATTACTGATTCCAGCGAAATCTTCAGACAGCTTTATTGCGGCGTTTGCACTCACGTGACTATGACGTAAGCACCCCCCCCCATGATAGACGGTTAAACCAGGAAGTCACATATTTACAAGTCTGACTTTTCACGTTTACATCATTTATAGTCTAATAAAGAAGAATTAATCGACTTCAGCATATCCCCTGTGTTATTTGTCCCTGGAACTATTGAAGTTTAATTTGCCATAGATCGAAGCAGACATCCACTTAGACTGAGTGCCTCACCCACGCGACATTATACTGTCAGTGCTCTTTTCTCTGAGTCAGGATGAACTTGCTACATGTACGACAAGCGTCAAATCGATTTGGACGGAAGAGTTGTTAACATTTCGCAGACAATGGCAAGTCGAGTTGAGGTCGAGCCTCCGCGAGGCGACATTAGGTCTGTCACTCTTCCCATCATGGTGGCTGTCACGGCAGTGTGCGTGGCGGGAATATCGACATCACAGGAAAGGACAAGCAATCGTAGATTTAACGTCTTTTCCAGCTCGTGTTAAAATAAAAGAAAAGCAAGCATCCTACAGACTGCCTAGCACACTTCATTCATATTTCCGACAATTTTGGTACGGTCGGTGGCGTGTCTTCGAGCCTCTTTCTAACTGTATATCTCCTAGGAAATGTACTAGCCTGTCTTCCCGTTACCCGGGTGCAACATGGGAGGGCTTCTGGCTTTCTGTTGGAGGGACATCGTGAGTTTTATCACGTCTGTGGAACACTGAACAGTCATAAATCGTACCCATTAGTTAATGATAGAGACATGGTTCTGGGCTCCAGTCATATCTCATAGGAGCTAGGGACAAATTACTGTGCAGACACACATCATGTCTTACCAAATGCTGTGGGGTGAAAATGTCTTTTTATCAGAATGTATCACGATTTTTAAAAAAGTTAATTGACGATTGCATGTATGTAGTAATGACGATAGATGGTAGGTGGTAAGGGGGTTAAAAATGAATGCACAAATCGATGGCAAAATATACCCAGCTATACACCAGACCACAGAAATATGGGGTTAACATCTGCACAAGTTCAAGAACTGACAATGTGGTACGTCTGCGGTAGAAGACCCCTCCCAGGCCCCTCCGGAACCTCAATTTCCCATCCAAGCCAGCCTAGCGGGGACCAATAGGCGGGCAGCATTTCGGCCACACCCACAACCCGCGCTTTAGCAAGATATGGTTGAAAAAGATGTTTCTCAAACTTGTTCAAAAGATACATTTGTAAATTGTTTTCTGAAATTCTGTGTCTTTGAATAGTTGGAGCAAAATAACTACCGAGCCGAGTTAAACCATTTCGGCACTGGGCTTCTGGTGCTTACGTCGGCCGCGCGGCGTACAAAACAGTATCTTAGGCCAAGTCTTTGTCTGTGAAAATGTAAGAAAAGAGGCCTTGCAGTCCTGTCCTGCCGATAACCTTGTTGTCTCGATTAAACTTTGTTACCCAGGCGGTATGATCTCGAAAATATTCTTACATTGTTTATCTGACATTTCCAACTCCGATTACCTGCCGCGCCGTATGGAAGGATGCTGTTCAACCCCATTGTCAAATGGAATCGACCGCAAAGTGGGCGTGGCGCGGAATGCTGGTCACCCATTGGTCGCCGCTAGGCTACGTGGATGTGAAATTGATGTAGGTCTCCCCCCTCCTCCCCTCCACACTTTTCTCACGGCAGGGTGGCGACATAACGGCCGCACATGCAGGGGCACTAACCACCAAGTCAAGGCCATGTCCACCCCATGCAACATTTCATATTGATAAACTCAGTTGGATTCTTCTGAGGCTGTGCCAAAGTGACCTTTTCAAGCATTCAGGTCCTGCCAAGTTCACTTCCAAGTGCACTCTGTTATGATTTGAGAGAAAAGGTCAATGTGCTGTCAGAACTGTGCGGCATGCAGCTGTGGTAGAATCTTGTTTCTGTTACGTTTGCCAAGCTTTGCCTGGTCCATGCCAGTTGACATCAACGGAAAATCTCAAGACTTCAAACAGGCATACTGTTGTTTTATACAGTCACTGCACGATATACGGAATCAACTACAATCGTTATATACACTAGGTTGTTTTTTCTTTGCACTTCGCCAAGAAGGTTATGTTTTCGTAGGCGTTCGTGTGTCTGTGTGTGTGTGTGTCAGCACGATAACTCAAGAAGGCTAAAATGGATTGTCTTGATATTTGGTAGGTGGATAGGTCTTCATGAGACGTGGAACTGATTAAATTTTGGGCCCCCTAGCGGCTTGTTATGGTACTGCAGCTGAACTTCCGGTTTTGATATCTCGTGATCTAGACATGCTAGGGTGACGAAATTTGGATGGTAGGTAGCTCTTGTGCTGGGGAAGAAGTGATGTGAGTTTGGCCTCCCTAGCGGCTTGCTCTGGAACTTCAGGGGCGTTAGTTGAAAAATATTTAAAGGCGGATAACTCTAGAACCGATTGATGGATCGTCGTGATTTTTGGCATGTAGGTAGCTGAGGTGATGCTTAACATAATAATATTATAATTATGCATATATTAATGTAATTTGAATAATTAATGAGGAAATTCTATAAATCATCTGCATTCCCTGATAGGACTATTCAAGCTTGTGACATATGTAATTAAGAACGGCAGAAATACAGGCAGATATCGATTATGCAAATGAAGACTTAATTTGCATAATTAATGAGAAAATGTTATATTTACATAGTGGTAACTGCCTGGAATGTCATACTTGGAATATTTGAAAGTTATGTGAAGGTGAACATAATTAAACATAACTTATTCAAATAAGGACCTCATTTGCATAATTTATGAGGAAATGCTATAATGGCATTCTTTGATAAGATAAGACTGTCTTCTGGTGTAGAATATGATCAACAGATATAATTGATGCAAATATAGGATCCTATTTGCACAATCAGGGGGACTAATCTATAATTTCTTACTCATAAAGGCTAACATCATTTGGCGAAGGTATGAGATCGTGGAACTCTAGTTAACAAAAAGTTAGGTCCCTTTTATGGGTCCTAACCTTTGTACACACTGCATGACTGGTTCGGGGCTGGTACCTCTAATGTAATAGGGAGTGTTGGTTCTGTGAAATTCTGCGATGATGTGTCAGCGTAAATGTTTTAAATTGTAACGTAAGGTTGTTACTTGGAACATTATTATCAGTGACATTCTCCGGCTATTTGCATGGCCTGACACTGTCAATCAACACGTATAATCTTTACAGACAGCTAAACTTAAGCGGCGATCATTGCCCGATTTTTGGCGTTGACAAAAGAATTCACCAGATTACGCCAAGCTAAAGAAGTCTATTACCGTCATCAATGCAGCCGGATGGCCAATTTAGAACATTTAACCCAATTATTCGCTCTCCGGCGGTGTGAAATTGTTAGTAATTGTAGGGAACGGTTCCTCAAGGGAAAAGGGAAACGGTGTCATGTTGATGGTTTCACTTTTGGGGGCCAATTTTTCAGTGAAAAAAAATCTAAATCAGCCGCCTTCCTTTTCCAAGATTGATGATTCAGTTTTCAGCATCGCTTCTAGAGAAATATAGCAACAAACTGATAGCCAAATTCCAGTACCACTATGACTTTAATTCCATGGCCAGACAAAATCTAAAACACATACACAGGTCATGCCATCCAAATGCTTGACTTCGAGTCGCCTGTATGTATATGATATACCGTAATGTATCGTAACGAACTACGTGAGGTTTGACGGGGAATATATAATTCTTGCTTCTCCTTGCTTACTTCTAGGGAATCTTGTTGTGGCACATCGGGATTCCAAACGCGCAAGGGGCCAATTGGGATCAAGAACCCGGGGGCGACCACAGTCAACTAACTTTCCTTCTGTTCTGATACAACCGAGCATACACTCACAGACGATGGTCTGTTGGCTTGGGTTTAATAGCCTCATGACAGGCTTCTTAGCTTTTTACGGCTCATTGCGCGTGCAGTTTTCAGATTATGTCAGTTGTGTTTTTTAACTAGTTTTTAACAGTCTAACCTAGACTAGGCGAAACCGGGCCAAAAGAGCTACAATGCCCTTACAATAAGCCTGTGATAGAGGCTACTGTTGGGTGGTGTTTAGTAGATCTAATTGACGGAATCTAATTACTCAGGAATGTGAGAAGTGACGAGGTCACTCGCCGGCGCCGCGCGCGTTCGAACCCCTCACTTCCCTGTTATGATGTGGGTAATCTACAACTCTAATTATCGTTACGATGCCCATTTTTGTTCGAGCTAATTTTGGGGAAAACATGTGATGCCAATATTAAACCCACATACTAACAATACCTATTATTTATGTAAAGGCTAGAATGGTCGTTGCTTATTTGTTTCGCTACCGTACAGGTGCGGCCATACATGTTACGCTTACGGGATCATGAACAATTCAACAGGGCCACACTTCGATATGCACACAATATATCGTAAACTTCACTAGATCAAGTTGCTACAGGTAATAGTTATGTAATCTAGTATATATCGGTAATGTCCTTGGTAATTCAAACGAATTTCATTGATAAAGAAGTGTAATTTGCAAGTTTTGTGTGTTTTGTTGTACGTCAAATGATACTTTTACACAGTGGATTATATACAATCTATAAAGCCATAGGTCATACAGAATGCAGTGTTGGTCGATCAACAGTCTCCATCTAGTGGAAAAGGGGGTCTGACAGCCCACTCATGCCCCTGGGTATTCTCAATGACAAGTGCACAGATACGGGCGGCAACAATGGCAACCGCACGGCCTGGCCTCGTCCTGTTATCACAAATATGCCCGGATTGTTCAGCGGCGTGTGAGAGGCTTTTCAAACAAACTGACTTTCTAACTAAAACTGTAATCCTCTCAAAGGGGCCTGGGCTAGGTCATATGGAAAAAAAGAAAAGGATACAAAAAGAACGTGTATTGTGCATGTAAACCTCGCTAACCTGTGTAAGGTGAAACAGGTGGTTGAAGGCATCGGAAGGTGTGTTTAGACTGGCGAGGTGTCTAACTTGTTCTACACTAACTGTATGGGTGCAAAATGCCGGGAAGGCACTCAACGGTATATGTAGAAATGTAGGTCACTCAAAGATTCGGTCCATGCGCCTCTATACATACCATGTCTTGTCTTATTGTGTTCGTGTCGCCAAATGCTTGTCACATTTTTGGAAGTTCGTTAAAAAGCCGCTGAGTTTAAGTTGTGGTCATTGCTATAATTTTATCTAATCGCCAAAAGGAATGTGTGCTCTTCGGCTGCTTGAAGGTTGCGTTGCAAAAATAGCGAAACTACGAACGCACATACGTATATATAGCAATTCACATTTCAATTCAAAAATTTCAGTCCGAAACTGTCGTCTATCAAATGTATAACTAGTACTGTTTTTACATCAAACATCAAGATACATTGTGTACAGGAAACAAACAAAAACATTTCAAACTGAAATCAAAGAAACGGAAAAAAGATCGCATTTCTAAATTCACTGAAGGGAGCCAAAAAAACAGGGTACAGCGATTTCGTCTCAATCCGTTTATCGTCCATTGCCTGAGGGAACAGTGGGTGTTTATAAAGGTCATTTCACCTTTTGTTTTACCCTTATCTATTCCAATACCTGCATAGAACATCTGGGAGACAATAATAATATAACAATATACACGGTCCAATTAAAGGAAGGCTCATCTGGAATAAAGAAAATTATAAAAACCACTCACATATAAAAGATTTAGAAGAGAAAAGGGGCGTATGAATAAAACATGATGTCAGCTCATCCGTTTTAGGTCAGTAAACACGAGACATGTTTTTAAGTGTTTACAAGTTACGCTGTGAGATCAAATAATGTTGGAGTCTAAAACCAGCGTCACGGACATGGTGGACAGTACAAGGAAAGGCGGTCAGTTGTCCGGAACATGGCATAGTGGACATTGTAGTCGCTGTCCAGAAACGTCCCTACTTAAGAGCATAATAGCATACAATGACACAAAGGTCACAGCGACAAGACGACAAAATGGCGGATGCACTGGAAGGTCACGCAACAAATGAATATGAGAATGGTCGAAATGAAAAGGTCACGAGCTTCTCTCAACAAATATCGACAACTTTGAGGGGTTACGTCAGATCAAACATACCCATACGAGCCGACTACCAATTTTTGAGTGCAGTGAGGCACTTTGCAATTTATTGCTGCAAGGGTATTACGATCGCTGGAACTCAACTTTTAAATTTATTGTAAATGGATCGATAGCACTCACAAAATTGGTCCCCTGTATTCTACGATAAGTTTAAATGTGGGCAATATTTTTGACGTTTATTACTAGACCAGTGAATGAGGGAGTCAATGTTTTATATCAGATTACAGGAGTACTATTTGACAACCTGTGATATAGTATAATATACATGTATATAGAGTGCGATAAATATGAATAAATATGATTAGATGCATATGTTTTCATGGGACACTAACGCCATTGAAACTTACAATAACCACAATATCAACGTTATGACACATCATACGAATCTGAGACATATTTAAATTTTCAAAACGAAAAGATTACTTTAGTTACTAACCTCATCTTGAAGTCCTTGATGTCGTTCTCCAGCTCCGTGTTCCGTTTGGTGAGAGTCTCCGTCTCCTCCTGCAGGGTCTTGATGACGGTGGTGGAGCCGGACCCCGAGCTCTTGGCGCTCTCCAGAGTCAGGATGTCCGTCTCCAGCTGCTTCTTGGTCTCCTGCAGCCTGCTGATCTCCTTGACGATCTCGGTGGTAGTGGACATGGCGCGGGTGAAGACCGGGCTGGGACTCATCAGCTCGTCGTACGAGTGCTGAGAGTCCATGCTGGAGCGGCGGGACCCGGGCGCGCTGCCCGTCAGACTGTGTCGGGATGACGTGTAGCTGCTGTAGGTACGAGTCGTGGTGGAGTCGTAACGTCCCGGCGACTGGCTGGACAGCGTCCGTGCCCGCTTAGGGTACATGGGCTGGTAGTACACCCGAGCGGACACCACCTGGTCGGGGGACGTCAGAGACGTCATGGAGTGGGACATTCTGTTGCTGGTAGACATGAGGTTGGTCTCGCTCATCTGCTGCCGGTAGCGAAGCTTTCTCGACACCCCTCCTCCGGATCTAGATTCGGAAAGAAAACGGGCAGAGGAGTAAGGTTCGTAGTCGTAGGTGTTTCTGCGGGTGGTCAGTCTGTCAGAGGACTGACTGCGGCTTCGGTACGATATTTTCCTGGTGGCGGGGGCAGCGCTGCTGCTGCGCCGCGTGGTGGGCGCCGTCGGCCCGCCGTACCCGCCGCTGTACGCGGTGGACGTGCTCGTACGCCTGACGCCCGCATCCCTTCCCCTGACGACATAGCGCGAGCGGTCGGTCTGTTGGAGCTCCCGCGAGTAATAGTGCGTGTGAGACATGTCTTCAGTGGCGTTGTATCTTAGCTAGGTGTTTTACACGTCAAGTCCCTGTCAGCGGGAGGACAGACTGGGCCCCTCCGGCGGTGTCTGGTGTTGGGAGGGGCGGGACAGGGGAGCGTGCCGCCGGCGACGTACAAGGCGACCCACCCGAGATGACACACCTATCCTGAGCTGCCTCGCACAAACGGTGCCTGAAAATTACACGCAAAACCCTCGGCCCGTACGGAACAGCCCTGATCTAATCAATACCTTCTCGCTTTGAAGTTTGCACGGTCGTTGTTTTTGTTTACAAACAAACCATCTGTTTCTACAGGTGTGGCATGACGTCATTACACGGAGATACACACATATTACGGATTCGCAATGACGGAAAGATGCACATTGTGCCAATACGCCGGAAACGGCTATCGATGTCCCCATACATTACACGTTATAGCGTATTGGCGATCGAAGCCCTCAATACATCTGTGCTACTAAATGTTTAATAAACAAGAATTGCGTGATCAGTTACACCCTTGGGACATACCGGTTAGACCTGTTCCCTACATCGCTATTGTTAGGCTACTATACAGAAGCGTGCACTTAAATATACAACGAGTACATATATATAAAGATTCCGTTCGTGTGTGTGTGTCTGTAACGTTGAACTAACTCCCAACACGGGGCCTCCTAAAACGGGTCTTCGATAATTATACACGGTCACGTCAACCGTAAAACAACCCTATCGCCGCGAATACAAGTTGGCCGTAAGTATTTCTTACGTATTGCTACCGGTCCTGCCGTGGTACATTGTGTATATAATTATGCAACAAGATCGTCCGATTGATAATCATGACATAAACCTAAACACGAAGAGAAAAGATAAAAGTCACTGCGTAACTAGCTCTACCAGTGTAGTACATGTAGCTGCACGCACATGTCTGACTGTGTGACTGACACACCCCCAGTGGGGTTTGAATGGACGTTTTGTTTGAGATAAGATCTCCCGTGATAGAAACACTGTAGCTTCTTGTAATACATGTACATTCCTGGTCATCAAGTTCAAGTCTGATATATTCTGGGCCCCAACTCTGATGGTCATGATACTGGTTACTGAAACGTATAAATTACGGAAGAATACGCGCTCGGATATTTGTTTTTAAACGAATCTTTTTTTCAGGCAGGAATGGACAATTAGGAGTGATTTGTAATACGAGACAAAAAAGTCGAGGCTTTCATACAGTCTCTAACATCTGTTTAGTGGCGTTGTTTGGGAAAGTTGCCAGAGAAAGTCACATGACTTAAATACATCTTGCAACAACAATGCTGACCTTGGCAATGAACGATGATTTGACTCTTGTAAAATTAGCAAAATTGGTAACATTTCCTGCTCAGTACAAAATATAGCTAAATACATTTCGACGTACTAGAGAAAAATAAATAAGTTGCAATATGTATAACAGTTATATGTATATTAATAGGGGGTCTAACATCTCATTACATGTGCACATCAACTTTATTTCGATGCATGTAACTACATATATAGTATACAACAATCAATAACGTGCAAGACAATGTTACACAACTGTTACGTTATCTTATAAACGCTTGCCATCTAGGAATAACAATCATTGTGGAAGAAATCGATATTGCAAATTTATTGAGTAAATTTCTGTACTCCGTTTTGAAAACATCTGGGAAATTCCTTTTGTTGTTGACCGGTCCGGGTATTTGGATTCCAAACACGCGCCCGTCTGACATGTTCGGCTGGTGACCTCCCAAAAAGACTGATGACACAAGGTCAAGGGTGACGGGGTCAGCAGGCGTGCCCTTGACATTGGACTACTAGTATTTGGAAGACTCGTTCATATGTGTGACAGAAGATTACTAAGGGTGACCCACTTTCTTTCTTTGTCGCCCCCAGCAAAGCTATTCGCGACCAAATGAATTATTTTATGGATTATTTGGATTATAGGCTACTTCATGAGGATCTTGAATATTCAACGGTTATGAACATTTCTACAAGTATGATCATTTCAAAGTTAATTGCAGTGACTTTGACTGAGGAGGTTGATTTGATTTGATTTGGACTTTAATACCTCGCTCACCGTGCCTCTTACTATGTAGCATTCGTTTTCTGTCATTTTATGCCACAAAAATAATACTAGTAGTAATATGATGCAATGTCCTTGGCCAATCCATATTTAGCCTCGATATCTGGCTGTTTATCAATAACATATATGACCACCCAAAATTCTTGATATGATCACTTCCACCGACATTACCTTGGCTATCCTCCTCATTTCAAGCGGCCCACAATTCAACCCTATATTTTGGGACGTGGGGATCGTTCCATAATATCGTTGTTATAGATAATAAAAAAAACATACTCTTTGATAATACAAATTACAAGTTCATGACTAAAGAAAATGTGAACACATCAAATGTCACGAACGCTGTGTACCAAGTGATTTTATAACTGAAAATAAGATTAGGTTGGAAAGAGCTCAGTATAAATCCAATGTTGTCAACAGTGAACCACCAACACTACAGAACGATCCCCGCTCCGGCTATATCGGTCCACAGATACGAATGCGTGAGCTGTCGTCTGCGTTGCCATGGTGAAAAAGTGGGGCTTGGCAAATTCTGGATCTCCCGAGCAGCAAAACTGTCGACCAGGAATTACGCAGGGAAAGCCCGAGAGGCTAGAATAACCTAATGACGCCTGATTTTGCTTCTGATTCAGCCCAAGCCTGATTGAAAGCGAATGAGAAACTCTCAAGTTCTGGGAATGACCCAATAAAATCCTCAGAATCATTAGCAATGTCTACTTGCAAGGGTAGAAGGAAAAATCAACAGAAATAGGCAGCAACAAAGAGACGAAAACCGCACTGGGAACATAAGAAAGGTAAAATAAAAGGTAAAAGAAAGGTGTGCCATTCACAGCTATAGGAGAAAGTAAGAATGTCAGTTGAGAACTGGATCATTTCAAAGAAGCCCACGCGAACGTCTTCACCAAAGCGCCATCTAGCGACAGTCCGGAGTGGAACCGTGCTGTCTTGTACGTGCTTTGACACAAGTGATATTGTCAGAACTGACATGACTGATAAGGCACAAAGAAGCGTATCTTTTGGTGTTTCCTTTATAATTACGTTCGAGAAGGTAACGCATTGTCTTGCTATAGTAGAGTATGTATGTCGGATCCAATACTTAAAGTCGGACCAGAACCTTTTTTTTCATACAGTGCAATACTAGTACTAGTCTAGTATCCACTGGAAATATTGCTCCAAAACCACTTTAACTTAGCCTGGGTACCATCCTGGTTAGTTTACCCAGGCTAACTTTAACTAACGATCCACGCATATCCGAACCCTTGACACGTCTCTGTGAAGAAATGAAAACATCCGTATCGCTGTATCAACCATGATCCAAGACATGCCAGAAATAAATCTCCACATCACATATTTTGGCTCGATGCTTCTAGTCCGTACGTCAGTGGAGGATCAGCATTCCTGATGTAATGTCTATCTGTAAACAGATGTCAAAGACCAGTCGTTGTGGATACAAAGTTTAGGAACTAAGGAAGGGACTTTCTTTATTGATAGAGATTCAACATCACTCAAAGTATGTCAGTACATGTAACAGTGCGTCCAAAAAGGGTTACCAGATTTTTAAAGTTTACACACGGAGAGTCAAGGCCATGTTGAAAGTACCGCTCTCTGTTTGAGGAAAACTTTCTGTAAGTGTCTGTAGAACTATCGAGGTTTACCGAGAAGGGCGCCCCTGTTAGGCCGTTGAGTTAGGAGGTCAGTGACAATTGGAAAACATAACAACCCCCCGCCTTCCAAACCGATGACACATTTCGACTTCTGAGAAGTACTAGTTAGACATCCCTGTAAGGAGTTTTTACACTTCGTGGGCTAGACACGTGTCTAGTTTTGCGAAGGGAATATTTCCAAAAGCAAACTGTGTCCTCCCACGAACTTTCACATAGAAACGTTATGAGCTAAATTTATTTGCTCTATTTAAGTCACTCAAAGACCCCCTCTAGTATTTTGCCATTCGTTAACCACTTCCTTTGCTTCAAAAGCCAAACTTTCTCGCTGCAAATAAATATAATCTTGTGTCAAAATATAACGTACTAAACCTATAGCACTACATTGTCTTAGTACACGTGTACTATCAAAGTATTAACGTTATGAATTATCAATCTCTACGTGGATCATTACAACCATCGTTTTGTATGTATGTTGACATTTTTCCGGGTGGTTGACAGTTGTGTGGTCCACGGCGCACCTTGATATCGGCTTCTTTTGATAAGCCACAGTGACACGAGTACTGTCAAACCGGTCGGACGGCACCTTGTACCTGCTCCACCCAGGTGACTATGTACACAGTCGGGGCCTTAAACAAACAATGGACCGTGTCTTCCTATTGTCAGTAGATAAACCCATCGACTCTATAGAGGAAGGGGCGTGCACCTATCAATACAAACCGGGATAGGGGCCCCAATATTATCCTATAGGCCATATAGAAGTCTATATAACTGTGAAATGTACTGAAAAGGTAGAAATGGCGTGCTTCTCAAACGTCATCTTACCATTACAAGAAATGTTCAGATTCAGATTATTTTCTGTCAGCATACAGGACCAGCAACGGTCGTGGTGTAGCCCACAGGGAATACTCATGTTGCAGATTTGATGTTCCTGTTGTCTGATCGGATGTCCTGTCTTCCTGTACAGGAGTCTTAACAGGTGAGAAAGGTCTCGGGTCAGACGGCCATCCCTTCCCATGCCCACAATAGAAGCGCTGACATGGCTGATGAGTCATGATAAAGTACCAATAAATACCGTATAATTATGATAATTACGACCTCAATTGGCATAAGCGTGTTCCAAGTAATTATTTAAGTATCGGTGGAGCTTCTTCCTTTGCAACGATGTTTCCTTACTCGAATTGTTGTCAATTTTTCATCGTTGCTCTGCTAGTCCCTAGCCTGTTGCCTTTCAGTTCTGTCAGCGATGAGGGAGATCAAGTGTCACTGTGGTCAAGTGTCACTGTGGTCAAGTGTGGCCGTGTGCGACAGGGAAGCAGGGCTGGGCTTCATTACTGTGACCTACTTTTCGAAGCTTGTCATTATACTACAGCAAAATACAGCTGAGGCTGGCAGAAAACGGGTACCAATCATGCAGACGAAGGTAACGATCATCCTCTGCCCGGAGTGTACAAAACTATACACAACTGAAAAGACACAAATTCTCTACCGTATTATCTACGGAAGCCTC